ACACACACACACACACACACACACACACACACACACACACACACAAGCACTGCATCATCAGCAAACAGCGGCTGTGTCACCCCTGTAATTCAACAACACTTAAGCACTTACCTGCACTTAATTTACAAGCTGTTTACAGCTAAATTTGCGAAGATGTTCTGGAAAAAAACCTGTAACATTCTTGTTTAAGGCAGACTTTTATTGTTATTATTATTATTATTATATTATTATTATTATTATTATTATTATTATTATTATTATTATTATTATTATTATTATTATTGTTGCTGTTATTATTGTTATTATTATTATTATTATCATCATTATAGGCAATATTAATGTTATTATTCTCTCTCTCTCTGTCTCTCTCTCTCTCTCTCTCTCTCTCTCTCCCTAATCACGTTTAAACACGCCTTGCAGCCTGCCCCCCACACCTGCTCCTAGCCCCCCAGCACCCAGCAGGGGTGCTGGGGGCGCCATTCACCTGGTCATTAGACCATTACTGGGTGACAGGTGCCGTCGACACTCTGAGTGTGTCGACCACACCCGGCCAGACCTTAATTATATCTGTTAATTGCTTGATTAGAGCGAGAAAGAAGGCGGGTAATGTAATAGTTAGGATGCTGGAGGGAGGGAGGGAGTGTTGGAGGGTGTGTTGGAGGCTGGGGATGTTGTTGGGAGTGTTGGAGGCTGGGGATGTTGTTGGTAGTGTTGAAGACGGGGGATGTTGTTGGTAGTGTTGGAGGCTGGGGATGTTGTTGGAAGTGTAGGAGGCTGGGGTGTTGTTGGTAGTGTTGGAGGCTGGGGATGTTGTTGGTAGTGTTGGAGACTGGGGATGTTGTTGGTAGTGTTGGAGACGGGGATGTTGTTGGTAGTGTTGGAGGCTGGGGATGTTGTTGGTAGTGTTGGAGACGGGGATGTTGTTGGTAGTGTTGGAGGCTGGGGATGTTGTTGGTAGTGTTGAAGACGGGGGATGTTGTTGGTAGTGTTGAAGACGGGGGATGTTGTTGGTAGTGTTGAAGACGGGGGATTTTGTTGGTAGTGTTGGAGGCTGGGGATGTTGTTGGTAGTGTTGGAGGCTGGGGATGTTGTTGGTAGTGTTGAAGACGGGGGATGTTGTTGGTAGTGTTGAAGACGGGGATGTTGTTGGTAGTGTTGAAGACGGGGATTTTGTTGGTAGTGTTGGAGGCTGGGGATGTTGTTGGTAGTGTTGGAGACGGGGGATGTTGTTGGTAGTGTTGGAGACGGGGGATGTTGTTAGTAGTGTTGGAGGCTGGGGATGTTGTTGGTAGTGTTGGAGACGGGGAATATTGTTGGTAGTGTTGGAGGCTGGGATGTTGTTGGTAGTGTTGGAGGCTGGGGATGTTGTTGGTAGTGTTGGAGACTGGGGATGTTGTTGGTAGTGTTGGAGACTGGGGATGTTGTTTTAAGTGTTGGATGGAAGGAGTGTTAGAGGGAGTGTTGGAGGGAGTGTTGGAAAGAGCGTAGGAGGGAGTGTTGGAGGGAGAGTTGGAAAGAGCGTAGGAGGGAGTGTTGGAGAAAGTGTTGAATGGAATGAGTGTAGGAGGGAGTGATGGGGAGAGTGTTGGAGGGAGGGAGTGTTGGAGAGAGTGTTGAAGGGAGTGTTGGAGTGTTGGAGGGAGGGAGTGTTCGAGGGAAGAAGTATTGGAGACAGTGAAGGAGGGAGTATATAAACCAGTGAGGGAGGGAGTATACAAACCAGTGAGGGAGGGAGTATATAAACCAGTGAGGGAGGGAGCATATAAACCAATGAGGGAGGGGGTATATAAACCAGTGAGGGAGGAGTATATAAACCAGTGAGGGAGGGAGTATATAAACCAGTGAGGGAGGGAGTATATAAACCAGTGAGGGAGGGAGTATATAAACCAGTGAGGGAGGAGTATATAAACCAGTGAGGGAGGGAGTATATAAACCAGTGAGGGAGGGAGTATATAAACCAGTGAGGGAGGGAGTATATAAACCAGTGAGGGAGTATATAAACCAGTGAGGGAGGGAGTATATAAACCAGTGAGGGAGGGTGTATATAAACCAGTGAGGAAGTATATAAACCAGTGAGGGAGGGAGTATATAAACCAGTGAGGGAGGGAGTATAAACCAGTGAGGGAGGAAGTATATAAACCAGTGAGGGAGGGAGTATATAAACCAGTGAGGGAGGAAGTATATAAACAAGTGAGGGAGGGAGTATATAAACCAGTGAGGGAGGAAGTATATAAACCAGTGAGGGAGGGAGTATATAAACCAGTGAGGGAGGGAGTATATAAACCAGTGAGGGAGGGAGTATATAAACCAGTGAGGGAGGGAGTATATAAACCAGTGAGGGAGGGAGTAATATAAACCAGTGAGGGAGGAAGTATA